ATAATGATTATCCACTATCAACTATTAATCATCAACCATTCGCTATTAGCATTATTTCAATAGGGAAACCAAACACCATTTGCTTGTGTTTCAGTATACGAAATCTTTAAGGGCAGTGGTCCATGCAGGGTAGTTAACTGAACATTGTTCTAAATGTCATTGTTCTCTATTTTCTCCCTTGACTATGAACTGATGATAGATTCTACAGAGAATGTATGAAATGCTTCAACAAGTGTTTTATCACACTTTAGAATGTTTCTCACATATAGAACCAACATTTTGATCAAATCCAACCACTAAAATAATGTTAGGATATCAAACACGCTAAACCAATGTTTTGATAAAAATATCCTACTACTAAAATAATGTTAGAGAAGATAGCCAACACGCCTCTGTCAAGTTCTTCCAGTAATTTTCAGTCAAGTACTTTGATGACCCAGATCATGTGCATTAATGTATACTCTATAGCACGCCAAACAAAAGATGTGAGAACTAAAGAAGGAGAAACTAGATGTCATAACCTGAAAATGGGCAGGCTAAAATGAAAATCCTCAGAAATGGAGAACATCACCTGAAGCACTTGACACCAAGATGCTTCAAGAAGAGGCTCTCTCTCAAAAGACTTGTGATCATACAGTTTCATGTCATAGCACTCATGGATGACAAATTGTGGAATTTCTTGCCCATGCAAAAGCAACAATTCCTTCACTTTGAATGGTGGCTCCAAAACAATCATCAACATCTTTCCAAAAGCATACTTGTGTGCCAAATCCATCCCTTGAAGGAATCTACTTATCTTGTTCAGACTTCAGAGTAACAAACATGACTGTATTCTCGTCATTGTAATTATAATCACAGAACCAGAGCAAGTATCCCTCAGGATCATACATATCCCAGAAGCCTGCAATAATAGTAAGAGTATAAAATTGCAGTTCATATAATTAAAAGCATCAAATCATTTGAGTCTAGAGTGAACAAATGTTATATGGTTGTACCTTTAATTGCAACCTTGTGGAAATTGGTCTTGGTATTTGAGTAGAGCCTCTTCCAATCATCCAAATCATTGAGGTTGTGTTTGGGAACTTGAATTTGAATTTGATGAGTGTAATTAGAATACATGTATTTAAAATACATATATTTAAAATACATGTATTTTAAAATACATTGTTTGGATTGAATTAAAAAAAATGAATTTCAAATACATGTATTTTTAAATACATTGTTTGGATATTTTAAAACACTATGTATTTAAAATTGAATTTTTCTATTAAATTAAATCTTCTTCATATTATTATTTAAATTTAATAAACTCAAAGTTAACAATTTTAGTCTTTCAAAATATTATTTAAATTACCACAAGACAAACAAATTGGATAAAAAAAATGACCTCTACTGATCAATTTGTCATCATATTCTCCATTTTCTGTTCATTTTTTCATTGTTATACAATATTCAATTTTTGCAAAGATGAATTTATTATGAAAGAATTTCACTATAAAAAATAAAAAAACAAAATCGTATCTAAAATTATTATCAACTATATCCATTAACAAGGTAATTGAGGTAACAGTCTTTAATTGCAAAACGAAATAGAAATATGACATTTTTCGTTGAAGACTTCGAACAACTATATTCATTAACAAGGAAGTTGAGATAACATTCCTTAATTGCAAAATGAAATAGAAATATGATATTCTTCGTTGAAGATTTTGAAGTAAACCATTGAGTTAAGGTTGAAAGTTGAAAAGGAATAAATCTTGCATCAAACATCATCAACAGTAAACTAGTCAAACATAGGGAAACCAAGTATTTAGATGACTTTTATTGAGAACTTTAGCCTTAATTGGGAATAATATATAACATAAGTTGCCAACAATAAGGTCTTAATTAGCACGAATAAAAATATTAGGAAGAAATTGAAAACAAGAACTAAGTTGAGGGACAACTTATAATTATCCCTTAATATTTCCTAGAGAGCAGCGACTGCACTGCTCTGGAACCTGAGATCGGTCTTGAAATCCTAAACGATCTCTCGCACAAGGCTCTGGAACGGAAGCTTTCGGATCAAGAGCTCAGTACTCTTCTGGTACTTCCTGATCTCTCTTAGAGCCACAGTTCCCAGCCTGAAACGGTGAGGCTTCTTCACTCCTCCGGTAGCCGATGCTGATTTATGAGCAGCCTTAGCGGCAAGCTGCTTCCTCGGCGCCTTGCCTCCGGTCGACTTCCTGGCTGTTTGCTTAGTACGAGCCATCTCAGGGAACAACAGTGAGATTCTAAGGAATTTTGGGAGAGGGGGGAAGCGGTAACTTTCGAAATTTGCGACACTTCTCATTGCCGTCAGTGAGAAGAGAGAGTACAGACCAAATTTAATTCAAAATTGAAATTCAGGGGTTTTAGGGTGAAATTGAAATACATGTATTTTACTCTTGAGAATTACATTGTTAAAATACATGTATTTCATTCAAATTCAATTACTTTTTATTTATGTAAAAACAAACAGTGATATTGAATTTTAACCCCTCAAATTCAAATACATTGTTTCAAATTCGTGTTACCAAACAGACCATGAATGATTTTGGATGCTTGGGGGAAGCAAGTCAAGAGGATTTTTAGGTTAAGGCTTTGGTGCCTCTTCCTCCTCCTCTTCACCTTTGCCTGCTCTTTCTGGACTTCTCTCCTGCTTTCTGGACTTCTCTCTTGGCTTCTTTCTCTAGTTAGCCTTAGGTTTAGCCTCCCTAGGCTGTGCAGGCTTTTTTGCAGATGGATTCAGTCTGCTTCACCTTACCCAGTATCTTTTTGAAATTTGGTTGATTTACCATGGGCCAGAAGTATCTCTCAACATGAGGAAATTCTGAGATAAAGCTCTTAGTCATAAGCTGAGTGAATCCAAGGTAAAGGTTGAGTGTCAAAAGTCAAAACACTGTCAGCAAGGGTCACCAAATGCCCAACCAGATCAGTGTTGGAAGCAAGGTGAGTGTTTAAGGCACCTAATGCTCTTTTCGGGGCAACAATTGCAGCTTCCTCAGCCTTCAATTCATTCAAAAAAATCCATAAAGTTAAAATAAGTTGAATAGAAGAAAGCCACCGGAGACATAACTTGCAATCATATATTCATTCTCAGTATATGTATAAATCTCCTAAGATGAGCATAGAATCAGAATAGTCCACACGATGCCATGAAAACAAACTATGGTTTCTAGGACACAATTCCATTGAAATTCATTTTAGTGTAAAATAGGGAGCATAACATTCCCATGTCCAAAATATTAAGAAGAAGGCAAACCATTTTAAGAGAGGCTAAAAAAGTAACTCTATAGTGGGGGAAAATATACAGGAAGAAAGTATACATCATGACCCATTCTAGGTCTAAACCAATTCAAGATGTTAGCATCAAGTTCCAATGATGCAAAATCAATCCAATGCTCAACATGGTCCTAAGAAACCAAGCGTACAATAGAAAGAATAACAAGTTGAAAAATTTCATAGCTAAAAAACCAATAAAAGGTAATCTTACATACTCAATGGGAGAGGGGCCAAGTAGCAGATTGTCAGTCTTCAAGAAACTGTAGCAATAAGAAGGCTCCAAACAGAGAAAAAAATAGTTTTTGCTAAACATAACGAGCTACAGCATCACTCTCAAATACAAGACCATCAGGTGTTTCCAACACAGGAACCTAGAAGAATAAGAGTTTTTTAAATAAATAAAATACAGAATAAGCTTTTAATTTGGCATTAGCAACGCCAGATACGAGTCTACGTAATGCCAGATACAAGTCTACGTACCATGCCAATAGGATTCATCTTAAGAAATTCAGGTGTTTCATTTGAGACAACAGTCTCAAAATTGCGAATAAGTTTGACCTCTATCCCACTGCACTCTGCAGCAATTAGTGTCTTGAACACATTCCAAATTTCCATGTTTTCCCTAGCTAGGGAAAAAAAGGGAGAAGGAAACACATACTGAAGAGTCTGAGACATTGCTAAAAGTACTAAGTGTTGAAAGAACATAAAATTTCCCCCAATCCAAAAGCACAAAGTAAGAAATTTTCATTCAATCATGCAAGATACAGCATTTACTGGTCATTGAGAAATATTTTCAGTTTTGCTGATGAATTAACATGATAAGCTAAACATAAAATTTCCTATCTCAAAGTTACAACAAGATAGTTTAATTTTTTTTTCATTTTTGATCGGCAGCAGCAAAATACTTTAATAACAGTGATAAACTCAATCCAAAGTCTAAATAACATGATCTTTTTTTTTCTTTTTTTGGCCTGCCAAACTGATCTGGTTGAAATATGGCAAACTAAACCTTACTGCTTGAACAAATGGAATCATGGACTACATACATCCAATTCATTTCTCACTTTCTCAGCGACCAAAAGGTGGAAACAAGTTAAAACCAATTACTATAATGCTTAATCTTTACAAATCCCTTAACTGGTAGATAATTGAGAAATAAAACACCAAAACAATTTCAATTCTATACAAATGAAATCATCAATCAGCAAAGATGCAAGGTGAAGGTTCTAAAAGGAAAATTAAATAGAAAAGAACTCATTAGAGCCATGACTTCAACTAGAAAACGTTAACGCCTCGATATCAGAACTGTACAACAAACACCAAAGAAGAAAAACCCATCAACAAGGAAGAAAATTGATGAAAGAAACAACAACTTCCCAATAGATAAGATAATATTCTCAACGCAAGTTTGAAACTTTATTCATCTAGAAGAAACCAGATGGAAGAGAGAACCTATGAGCACTAGCGTTTTTCCGAGAGGGAGAGTGTGGTACTAGAAAGTGGAGAGTGGAAACCATTCCCTTCGGCTTGGTCCGATTGGTTCTGGATTCCGGACCCAAATACGGGTCGTCCGATGACCCACGGGTTTGACGACACGTGCTTTAAAAAAGCTTACCTTTGACCTTTCAGGTTTCCACCTTCTTTCTCCTTCCCATCAAGCTTATTCTGCATCCGTCTCGTCTATTTAAGCATACAAAACTCGTTTTTTGTCTTCCATAAGTTGTGCGAAGACACCCATTTGAGATATTCAGCAT